AGGCTGAGCTTGAGTCACTAAAGAACGTCGGTCAAAACAACACTTGTTTATTTTGTTGTTATAAAAATGTTTACAACACGTTTGGCCAAAAACATGTTTCCTCGTTTTTTTCTCTCGAAAGTTTACAATGCATTTACTTTTTTTTTCGTGACACACTTCGATGTGTGTCAACGAAAAGACCGTCAAAATGTTTGGGTTTGTGCTTTTCAATTTTGTTTTATACCGTGCCTCGTCTCAGTGATTTGCAACGTCATGAATAAGCTCTTGGCATGCTGTGAGCTAATGCGATGGTTTCTGCTGTCGCTAGAACTTTCAATGTGAAGAGAGATACTATCCAAAAGCTAAGGATACAGTTCTAAGCAAGTGGTTCGGTTAGTGACCCTCCAAGGTCTGGTCGTCCTCGTGTCATTTCTACTGTTGAAGACAATCGGATCAGAGTTCCACACTTGCGGAATCGGTTTCAAACAGCTTCTAAAACTGCCAGAGATTGGCCTGGGCATAGACCGATCAGCCGCTCCACCGTTCATCGACGCTTGAAAGCCCACGGAATCGTTGCCCGACACCCAGCTCGACGCACTCGTCTCCTCCAAAAACACCGTCATGCCAGACTCAACTGGGCACGTCTGCACCGGCGACGGCCAAACCGTCAGCGGAACAGAGTGATGTTTTCTGACGAGTCCAGATTTCTTTTAGATCGCTACGATAAGAGGCAGAAAGTCAACCGGAGACTTAATGAACGTTATGTACCTCAGTGTGTCAGTGCTGCTGCTGACAAACGTAGCGTTATGGCAGTACTGATAAATTCAATCTAGTCATTATCGACTGTAATCTGACTGCCCAGAGATACATCAATGACGTTCTCTATCCACACTTTCTGCCGTTCCTGGCTCGCAACAGGAACAATCTCGCGTGCCAACAGGATTTAGCACAAGCACACCGTGCCTGTGTTACCCTGAGATTCTTACAACAAAATAACGTGCGTGTTATAACACCGTTGCCAGTGTTATCCCCCGATTTAAAGGTGATTGAGCACTTCTGGGACAAGATGGACAAGGAAATTCGCAGCCTTCGGCCACCCCAACGACAATCCCACAACTGCAACAATCATTAATGGATGCTTGGAATAATATTCCCCAGAAATTTATCCAACGACATGTGCAATGAATGAGGAGGAGATGTACTGTAGTTATCAATGTTGGTGGGAGTTACACACGTTACTAATTCTGGGATTTTTGACATTCGAATCGTTGTTATTAGTTTCTAATAAAAAGTGGGTTCTTTATCGTTTTTCTTATTTTATTTTTGTCTGTACTTACTGAAAAAATGGCAGACCTTTCAAAATCCAATTAGCAATACGGCAATACTACGATAAAGAACGGAAATAATTCACAGAACGTAGGGTGCCTACTTTCTTTTGTGCTAGTCAATATGTAATGTGTTTATGTATATATATAAAT